AGTCAACATCTATATTTTTGTCACTTTCCAATGCCAGGCATTTGGTTTACTCTTTGTGGGCTTAGATAGCTATTTCCTTGGCAAGATATTTCCCCAAGTATTAATTACAATGTCGATGAGCAGAAAGGGTTTTCTGCTTATTTATAAAGAGTAATTTCTTCTATAAAACGGTATTTAATTTGATTTCAGTCTGATGAATGCACTTTTTTTCTGCACAGCGACATTATTTTCCTGTTGCTGTCACTGCTTGTAATATTTTTGGGCTGTCATCCCCATGTCCTTTTCAAGTGTTTTTCATTGAGGAAAGGAGTATATTCATCTCACTGGTATCTCTTCAGCTCTATGTTTCTACCTGCCTTGCTTCTGGCAATCAACACACAAAGTATATGAATCTAAACATCAGTGTTTCAATTTGGCACCTACCCACTTCTGTGGCAAAAATTGTTTCATCTATCTAGCTGAGACTTTGAGGGTTCTTTTAGCAAGCTATTATTTTTCTGATAGTATTTATGAGGTAATTTAAATTTTTTACTAAAACCTGTATAAACCACTTTTATTGGAGCATCCTCTATTCTTTCTTACCTATCACCCACTTCATTTTAGCATTTGTTTTTTGAGTAAGTGACTTCTTTGCTTTATATACAGTCTCACATCCAGTGGTTTTCTGCTGAAGTATTCTGGGAGAAAAGGCATGTCAGAGTCTGTCCAAAACTGTGATTTTGCAATCTGTGTCTCTGCCTTTTAGGCTGAGACTTTCACACAAACATCTTTCTGGGTGTGAGAAAAGAGCCCTCTCTAAAATTCACAAGGCGACACAGGAATTTAATTTGATCCTTAGTTTTGCTCAAACTGAACCCAAAGGCATTTCCAGTCACAAATGCAGCAAGATGAAAGCAAAACAAAAAGCAAAACAGACTGCAGAGACAGTCAACATTTCATCACTTGTTTTCTTTTCACACTTCTTAACACCAAGGAAAAGGACTACACATCAGTACCAATCAACACATATCAGAGCCAGGATTTTTTTCCCATAAGCATGTTTTTAATTTTCTACTGGTCTGCTTCATTATCAGCAGTCAACCTGTCCAACAAATCCAGGGTATAGCTGAACAATCCCCATTTTTTTCTGGTTGGGTGACCCAGGATTTAATGGTTAATTTTTTCCCTTTTCTGTATAATTTTTACCACTGTTTAATCTACTGATATCTGTTCCTTAGTACAGGGGGATTTAATGGCAGTGTGCTGCAATGTAAACATGTAATTACCATGAACATTCCCCAACAGAAATGTGTCATCAGTCTGATGCAGCCTTTTAAGTCCCATTGCACAAAACAACTTCTTCCTTTGTAAGGAAGGAAATGATGATGAATTTGAAATGTCATTCTACGCCTATTTTTCTGCTGAGTTCACAGCTTCATAAGAAACAGGTTTTCAGATATGTTTTCCCAGGAGCCAAAAGGTATTTTTAAAAATGTAACTGTGGTGAAGGACCATGTAGTTCATATGGTTTTATTCTCCCAACCTCATTGTTACAGTTCTTAACACCAAGGAATAATATCATCTGCATGACACAGAAAACATATTTTTAACCTAATTCTGAGTTCAGGCATTCTCTCAGAAAACAGATGGAATGGGTGCACTCACAAATGCAGTCAAGAAGGAATTCCTGCATTCCATTCCTGAGAATGAATGCAGGAATTATAAAAGAACTCAGGATGTCTTGCCATCACAACTCAAAGTTAGAAATTAATGTATCCTATCCTTGAACATTGTGCTTTCTATTCTAAAATTCTAAAATTATCCTTCTTAAGCACTTTCAGAGTACTGTTTCCCCTAATCATCAAACTGAGTAGTGAAAGAATAGCCATTAACAAAATATTTCATAAAACTGCTGAAGTAGATTAACTCTGTCCACTAGGGATGCTGTGATTTGAAACTTACAACAACTTTCCACAATTTTTCTTAAAAACAATAAGCGGTGTATAATTAATTGGAAACTTATTCAAAATTATGAGGGTAAAAAACCCCAAACAAATATATTGTTGCATGAAAAATAGCCAGAAGTAAAAAACTGAAGAATTTCTACCTCAGTTCCACTCAAAAGCACATATTTTGTTCAGACAGCAAAACACTTCAACATTCTTTGTACTTTTTGTCCATTTCTATTTGGAATGCAATTGAGACAGAAATATGTTGGGAACCACTATGAAGTATTAGTTATCTTCTTTGATGGAAAATAGGAATTAGCCTCAATTTTCACCTCTTTATTCCATCTACTTTATCTAAGAAGGTAGTTTGTGACAAATGAAGTGAGGTACACCAGCTATTCTTCAGTTACATTCTGCAAGTCTTCTGCAAAAAACCACAGAAAGCAGCACACATATATATTTGTGTATATATATATATATGTGTATATATGTATATATTTATAGCATTGAATTCTGATGAGATATAATTTGATGCAACCACAAGCTTTTGGTCTCAAATAAATATTCTCATAGCATAACAAATTAGAAGTTCCATGACTATATGGAGAGAGGGATTATTCACTTTCTGCCAGATATCTTGTCTCTATCAAACAGCTTCAAGCTAATAATTTCAGTCCTATGAATTCTGGAAAAATTAGTAAACTCCTTCCTAAATGTTATGCTTTTTGGAAAATATAAATACTTTTGAATCTTTAGCAATGTTAAAAAATATCACTTCAGTTTTCAGTTATTTATCAGATAGCTTTATAGCTGCTTCTTATGAAACACCATTCTCTCTTCTGAAAACAAAATTCATGCTGATTGCAGTTGCAGAAAACATAATTAGAGAACTGTCCACAAGTTCAAAATGCAACTCACATTATAGTCCATTTGAAATACTATTACTTCAGAGCTGATTACAGGGCTCAGTACATGAAGAAAGGAATTTGAAACCTGACCACAAGTGTTCTGAGCTGGTGCATTCTTTTCAGCAGAGTTTGTGAAAAAATCCATGTGGTTGGACATTAATTACATATATCTCTTTTAAAATCTTCTTTCTGCCATAAATAGGAGAACTTAGATAGTGCATTACCATTTGTTTTTTATTAGAACATTTTGATTTTACCATTCAGCTGCTGTGACAATCCAAGAAGCTGACAGAAGTTGCAGTTAGCGTGTGTTACACATTGTTTATTTTGGAAAGAACTAGTCAAAATAAGTCATACAATTCATTATTATTTATTTTACTGAACAGCTAGAAAGCTCAGATCTTAGGTGAGGATCCTTCAGTGTGAGGAGAGGAGAGGAGAGGAGAGGAGGGGAGGGGAGAGGAGAGGAGAGCCTGTGCTCCGCAGTGCCTGTTGGGGAGTGCCGGGCAGCAGCGGGTAGCCCCATAAGTGGGGTTCTGTGTGTCCCCTGGCCTCAGCGGGCAGTTGGAGGGACCCCCTGTAATCAGGCAGGTGTCCCTGATCCCACTCTTTCAGAGGCATGGAGCCTGGAGTCATGGGGCCGGGCATGCGCCCTTCCTGTCATCAGGGCTGGGCTGGTGGCCCCTCGGACCCCTCGGCTTTAGGCCGTGAGCTGGACTGCCTGATGGTAGAGTCAGGTTCCTGTTGCCTTGGGGGAAGGCCGAGCTCTGTGGCTCCCCGGGTGTGGACCGGCCTGTAAGCAGGCTGCGGGTCTGGGAGCCTTTGTGCTCCCTTCAGCTGGCAGCCTGTGTGGGGCGCCCGCCCCGTTAGTGGGGAGCGCCCCGCAACTGGTGGAGAGAAGGAGCCTCCGTAGGCCTTGGGGACCAGAGCCGCCCTGTAAGTGGGGGCCTGTAAGTGCTCTGGAGTCCCGGGCACTTTTTAGTCCAGGCAGCGGCCTGAGCCCCCTGTAAGCAGGGGCGCAGCCTCTTGGCCGCTGCCTTGCGTGCCCAGCTTCCTTTGCCCAGAGGGTCCGGCTCCCAGCACGGCGTGGGACTGCGCCGGACGTCGCGACGGTCAGTCAAGCTGAAGTTGGAGGCTTTTGGGCAGCTGGGGGTTTGTGTAGTCATTCAATGGCAGAAGCCGTGGGATGACAAGACAAGAGCGGCAGCGTCTTGGAGCTCAAGTGTGGAACGGCGAGGCAAGAGCGAGCTCAGAGCTGAAGAGGGACACGAGGGGCCCTCTGGGCAAAGGGCTTTTCCAGGCCAGGGCACCTTCAGGGTGCCGCAGCTGGCTTTGCACTGGGTGGACCTCCCGGCCCCCAGCCCAGCTACCCTGTGAGCAGGGCAGGGCTTTTCCCCAACCCCGGCAGCTTTCTGCTGCAGCCTGCTGCTGGCCCCTGGCCCCTGTGACCCCTTGTACTCAGGGCATTGTCACAGCCTGTGTCCCTGTGCCAGGCCTGAAGCGCTTCAGCACGTTGAGGCCCCTTTGGCCTCCCCTCAGTGCACAGGCCGGTCTGATGCTTTCCTCTCCCGCTCAGCATTAGCAATGGCTTCCTAGAGTACTTGCTCCCTCTTCTGCAACTGTCTCCCCCCTCCCCTGTCTTCCACTTAGTTGGTGTGAGTGAGGATGTGTGTTTGTGCTTTAGCCCCCCCTCCCCTTTAGGAACAGAGTAGTGTAGCTTGGACTTCCCAGGAGGGAAAGAGGAGCTCTGTGCAGCCACAGGCGGGTGCCCAAAATGCAGGTGGAGAAAGCGTCCAGCCTTGCTCCTGCTTTCTGATGACAGCACGAAGCCACTCAGGGGCAGTGTGGGCAGCATGAGCCCCCTGTAGCCAGGGCCAGGGCGTGCGCCCACGCTGCCAGTCGTGCTGGTGAGCTGCCAGCGTGCGGGCCCTGTACTCGGGGCCCGTGTCAGGACCTTGGCAGCACCCTTTGTCCCCAGGAGCAGCCCCGCCCCGGTCCCTGTAAGCAGGGCTGGGGCGGCTCCTTTAGCCAGGAAACACGAACAAGTGCTCCCCGGCCCTTGCCAGGGGGCAGCTTGCAGAAGGGTGTGCCACAGGGCACACTCCTGCCTTTGGCACTTCACCTCTTAGAGTCCAGACCACAAACACAACTGAGCTCCAACAGATAGAGTATAAAAATATATTGCACTGTCCAGGGAGCAGCAACCATGATTAGATCCTAAATGTAGTCTGTGACGCTCAGTCAATAACTACTGGTTGGTCATGTGCACCTGCCTGAAGCTTAGGCTTCTTTGCTTTTAAGTTAGGACTACAGCTGGGCCGTTTTTGTTCCTGTGATTTCTTCAGCCCTGAATCTTGGACAGTCTTTGATCCAGCCTGGGCATTTTCTCTGCTTCCTTTTGAATTTAAAGATTGAGATGGTTTCACCTGAAAGATTTAACGAGAGTTCAATTAAAATTGTAGCATTGCTTTCCTGTTTTTTTCATGTTCCCACACAAAAGAGAAGATATTTATGAGGTTATGATATTTAAGATGTACATGCATACATGTATAAACACATACATGCACATATACATGTGCTCCATCACATTCCAAACACTTCTGGATGTTGAATCTTGGAATTCTGTGGTAGGAGACTGGCAAGTGCCTACAATTAGAATATTGTTGGTATTCTCACATTTCACTGACCATAAAAGCTAAGATCAATTTTCAATGCCTTTAAAAATGAAAGAATAATGTCAAAATATTGCCAAGAACTTATTGAAATGAAAAGGGTGTGTTAGGTTAAGCATAGAGACTATACTGGGGTTTTTTCTGCATTTTTGCTTCTGACATTTTTTGGAAAGTGTGTTGTTTGCACTAGTAACTGAAATGCAATTTGAGGAGGACAGAATGACTGCATTACTACAAAACATGTTTTGAGCAGATACCAAATGATTAAATTAAGCTCTAATGGAGAAGATACCTATATGACAAATCAGAACAGATGTAAATACCTTGGAACCACTTTTGCTGTTTGTTATCCCCTCCATGGTGATGACATGTCCCTCGTTTTTCAGCAGCCGGGCTTTAGGTCCCACCTTCAGGTAGGATATTGTGGCAAAGGCTGTGAAGCTGAAATCCTCCCTGCATGGATGAAATCACTGTTACAGGGGAAGGTTGGAGATGGAAGCCAGAATATGCAGGGGGAAAAAATCACAGAATCATTAAGGTGAGAAAAGACCTCCAAAATCATCAAGTCCAACCAGCAACCCAGCACTGCCACTAAACCATGTCCTCAGGTGCCACATCCACATGTGTGAACAGATCCAGGAATGGTGACTCCACCACTGCCCTTCTCAACAGCTCTTTCCATAAGGACAGAGACACATTAACCCTTCTGATGGATGTTCCAGCGAGCAGCCTCATTCTGCTTTATCTATTCAAGTAGACAGTCAGGTGACTTAGAGCTACTCCAATACACTCAACAACTACTTTATATAATTCAGTTTGTGGACCTTGACAGACACAAAAACACTCAGATGCACACTTGGCAATCTCTTAAAACACATGGAAGAAAATGACATTTAGCAAAAAAGATGTAAGTCATCAGCTCATCCTATTAATAATATTAAAAAAGCTGTACAGAGAGATGCAAAGAAAAATTAAGTCAAAATAAAGGAATTCGATATTTGTAGGTATTCTTAAACTTAGAAATTATATGAGAAGACACAACACATAGCACATGGACTTCTTACAAAGGCAGCACTGGTATTAGTTCCACTATGCTTTCTTAAAATTTCTGAGTACCACCTTCCACATTAGCCAGTGTTTCCTGACTTAGACATCGTGTGCACAACCCCATTTGCTCTCCTTATCCATGGAATGTGAAGGACAGCTGCATGAACTGCAGACTTCTCAAAAATTAATCCTGCTGCAGATTTAAACATTCTACTTGAATACAGAAGACCCTCAGCTTTTTAAAATTGCACGAGATGCACCATTTCAGCTGTTCCTCTGACTTTAGAAATGGAAATATAGCAATGCGTGAAAGGTTTTTAAGAATAAATTTTATGCATCTGAAATGAAAACAAGAGTACAGAATGTATCCATTAATGTTATACAGAAGTAACAAAAGAGCAAGGAAAATGACTTCTTAATGTTAAAAAACCAAAACAAAGAAAACAAAATAGTTATCTTACATACTTCAGATACTGCTGCAGCAGAAAATGAGCAATAATTCTCTCCAGCTCCTGCCGAGAGTGCTTGGGTGAAGTAACTTCAGGCACCCTGAATTTGGACACACCTTTCCCAGACCAGGCATCGATTAATTTCAGTGGGGTGAGTTTCTCACTCATGCTGTCAGCTTGCTCAAGGATCTTTATTAGATCCCTGCAGTATCCTGTTACATCCAGCCTCTCACATGCTGCAAGTAAAAGTGAAGGAACATTTAAACAGAAATATAGTTACACATGTTGTTATATGTAGCTATATATACATATCTTTATATGTATTTATATATCTTTTTATATCTATCTAATACATATCTATATATCTTTGTGCTATATGTGCAACGCTTTTTTTGTGTTGCTTTTGGACTAACTTGGCAACAGTAGGCCACCAAAAAACTGATAATCATAACAAACTCTGCACCTTGAAAACAGTCAGTAATACAAGCAGAGGTCACAAAATTTGTTCAGTTTTTCTACACCAGGTATTTCTTTAAATCACCTTTTCCCATGTTCCCTGTCCTTTACCTACCATTCTCTCTGCAGCAGTTATCACACATTCTGTTGCAGTTGGCAGAATCCCACACCTCATCAAAGTGGTGAGCTATGAGCACCCGGCGACACCTGAGGAGCAGAGAGCAGAAGGGGGCTATGGATCCCAGGTGGGTTTGTCACACCTGCCTTATACAGCATGAAATGGCAAAAAAGGCCCTAGGGACAGCTCAGATCTCAGAACAAGCACAAAGAATTATCAGAGGAAAAATCAGAGAACAAATGCAGCAACACCAGTATTCCCTATCAGCTATGCCAATACTGGTGTAGGCAGTTTGGCTGAAGCACAAGAGTACAATCTGCAGCTTCAAGAGAATGACAAATGGTAAGAATATGAACTCATGGTTACACTGAGGCCACAAAAGGCTTTACTGGGTTGCACCAGTTTTGGTCACAGATACATATTTTCCATGAATATTCCAAATATCACAGTGAAGCAGGTGAAGCAGTAAACACACCTGGATTCCTACGTGGCCATTAAACACTATAGCTCAGAGCCAAAACCACAGAACTCCAATATTTCCTCTGACTGGGATCTGAAATCCAAATAGTGTTTGTTGACAGATACTTCACCTCAACACAACCACTTCCAGAACTGTATCCTGAAGCTGGCAAGCTTGCTCCTGTTTTTGTGGGTGGTTTTGTTTGGTGATGGGTTCATTTTGGTTTTCAGGTTTTTTCTTTTGTTTTGCTTTTTTTTCCAAACACCCCCTAAAACCCCCCTAAAAAATAAGCCCATTTAAAAACTAAGCAACCAAGCCACCACAGTAACTTACTTGCTCATATTTTGGCAATAAGAGACCATATCATACAGCTTCTCTTGGCCAACATTTTCCATCACCACCATTGAGCTGATTCTGAATATATCTCCAAACCCATAATACAAAATACAGTCAGCTTTTTGGTCATCTCTACCTGCAATGCATTAAAATGAACAGATAATTACAATCTCAACCAATTGCCCCTCAAGTTCTTTGATAAACTGTTCTCCACATAGACTCATATCTGTCTTTAAAAAAGTAATGAAATTAACACGATCAAAGAATCCCAAAACACTGCAAAATGTTTTTGGGGGTGGAGTTTGGCCATAACAGGTATTTAATACTGCTAAACATGGATCAATCCTTAAAATTCCCTGCTCCAGACTCCCCATCCTACTTGTATTTCTGAAATTCATACAATGATTAAACAATCTAGAAGCAATCTGAGCAAATCACACATCCCAGATACTGTACAAAATAAAAAAATTAAAATTGTATATCAAATCTGTGTCATGCTATTCTGGTAAGCCACAGATTTGACAGAAAATCAGATATTTAAAAAGATGCTAGATAGCCAGTTATTCTTTGTTACACTGCAGTAGAGGCCTGGTCATGAATTCAGTTTATATTTAAAGCCTCTTTACAGAGGCAGTTTTATTACACCCTTTGAAAACTGTCTCAAAGGCAAGAGACTTTGCACAACTGCCTGGAAAACTGAAGGACAGTTTTGCTGGTGTCATGGATGTCAATAGCAGCTTGGCAAAAGCCACTTCCTGCAGTACCTGCACGTCCACTCTCTTGGTAATAGTTCTCCATGGACTTGCTCATAGAGTGATGGATTACAAACCTCACATCAGGTTTATCAATTCCCATGCCAAAAGCAACAGTTGCCACTACCACCTGTGAAAAAGAAAATGATTGAGAAATCATCAAGCAACCAAATCACAATTTGTTTAAGTAAGACATAAGTCCATGTAAAGTATTTACTTAACCTGGATTTGATTTGTTGCCCATCCTTTATGAACTTTGGTTTTATATTTAGGATCCATGTTTGCATGGTAAGTCCCTGCCTTGATTCCCAGTTTCTGCAAACTCACAGTAACTTGCTCAGAATCCTTCTGAGAAAAGCAGTAAACAATTCCTGCACAAAAGTGAAAGACGCCTCATCATAATGCCTTAAAAAGGCCAAACAATTCCCAGTAGTTAAAAACAATTCTGAAAGTTTTATTAGCTTATGAAATAAATAATTAACAAGCATTATACAGTCTTTGTGCCTATTTAGTCCATAGTAATGGTATTTATGAATGAAAATTCACTTATCAGCTTGGACCTGAAGGCTAAAGAGGAAATGCAGGCGCCAATCCATAGAACCATGGAAGCATACTGCAAATACTCAAGGAGGACAATGTTTATTAAAGCTTTTTAAAGGGGCTATGCCTTATGACATCTATGGCATCTCACCTGAGGTTTCAGTTCAATCTGCCTTTTGTCATTAGTCAGGCTGGGCTAAGCCAGGGATCACACACAAAGCCATGTGATTTTGAATCATTTTAGCACAGTTTGTGCTCAGGGAGCTGCTCCTCACAGCCACAGATCTCCAAGCAGAGACAGGGACAGACTGCTGCTCCAGAACCTGGGTTCTGCTGCCTTGACAAGATGTCTCTCCTCTTCATTTCCACTACAGAGTTTACTGACTGCACAAGTTCAACTTCTACAGTTCTGCTTTTACCTGTAATTCACCCCATAACACCCAGTCTGGGCACTGAGTAACTCTTCAGATGACTCTTCTGATCAAATATGAAAAAATATGTTAAAGATAGCAAGTATCCTGACACATGGCTGAAAACAATGGGTGATTTAAGAACACAGAGATGACCTTTTCTGAGCCTTGCATTTACAATCTTAAACCTTCCTATTATTACTTATGTAACCTTTGTTCTATAGACATCAACATTCCACTTCAATACTTCAGAAGATACAAGTAAACTGTAAAGACATTTAAACACTAATGAATGAAGAGAGAAATTATTCAAGGTATGGATCTTACTAAATTTCATTTATTCTAATTCTGCCTTCATCATACATTAAAAATCCAGAATTTCTCTACATGCTTCAAGATCATTTGAAAACATCCCAACATGCTTGCAATGATGAAGGTTAAGAAGATAATGTGTCTTTTGAGACTTTTTTTACCTGACAGTCCTTTGTATCTTCCATTAATGGTCTTAACTATGTCCTCTATGAAATCTTCATTATTTGAAGGCTTATGCCGAACCTCAAAAATACATTAAGCACATGTCAGAGTTCAAGTGGACAAACAGTCTGCCAAACAACTTTATTTTACTTTTCCCAGTATAATAAACACAACTATTCCAACCTTTTCAAAAGAATTACCGTATTCTTTTTATGAACAGTCAGATTACAACTCAAAAGTCCATTGAAAAATAAACCCCAAGACAAAGCTGTAAGCTTTCCCCACCAAGAACAATAAACAAACCCGTGGCCAAAGTGAAAATACAGCACAACAGAATAATTCAGAAAAATTTTTTTCCAACAGGTTGAAGCAGTCTGAGCCTGCTGCCTGCCCCTCTCCCTGCAGGAGACAGCACAAACCAGCTAGCAAGACCTACCTCATAGTAAAGGTTGGGCCTGTTGAAGGAAGCAGTAAAGGTAATGCACTTCTGAACATGCAAAATGCTCTGAGCATCCTTTAAAACATGATTGGTAGCTGTTGCTGTCAATCCAATCAAGGGAGTATTGGGAAACTGTCTTTTCAGGATACCAAGAGACTTGTAGTCTAAGCAAGAAAAGAAAAAGGGGAGAGAAAAAGATTTCTCATGCCACAAATGCAAACTTGAAAAAGGCATTCTTGTAGACAGTATTTAATGGGGTAATACTGCAATAAATGTTATTACTGCTAATCTACTACAGAACTAATTTATACATCCAAAGGAAGTAACAAGCAGGTTGCACTTGGCAAAACATATGTCTTCTAATTGAGTTTTAAAAACTATCACAGAATCATTTGGGTTGGAAGACACCTTAAAGACAATCTTGTTCCAACCCCCTGCCATAAGAGGGCAGGTTTTCCACTATCCCAGGTTGCTTGGAGCCCCATCCAACCTGGCCTTGGACACCCCCAGGGATGAGGCATCCATAACTTCTCTGGGCAGCCTGTGCCAGCGCCTCACCACCCTCACAGTTCTTCCTAATACCCAACCTAATACTACCCTCAGTTTGAAGCCATTCCTCTTTGTCCTGTGACTCCAAGCTCTTGTAAAAATTCCCTCTCCAGTTTCCTTTGAGGCTCCCTCCAGGTACTGAAAGGCTGCAATTACCAGCCACAATTCAGATGGCAAAAATTAATGGAAGTAGAAATTCTTCAAAAGTTAGAAAAATATGTGTGGCATTGTATTAACCAACATTCAGTTTATTCTGCAGGTTTGTTTTTACAAAGAGCTCTTGAGTAAACAGAGCTTTTCTAAAAAACAAGCAATGTGGAATTTGGATACATAGACCAGGCAGTAAAAATAAAAAATTTTAAAGGTTCAGTATTGACAATCACCTGTTGCCTTTGAACAGAAGTGCAGCCAGAGGTACATATCCAAATTCCACACTGCCTGTTGAACCATCCTGGCTCTTGGCTCAGGCACCACTTCTTAGCAAAACTGCTAAGAGTGACTTTACAGTTAATATTGCTTCAGATCAGGTTTTCTTTCATAGACAAAGAAACAGCAAGTGACAATATTGTACAGTCTCCAAGAGAGGAAAAAGACTGAAGCACACTTTCTTTCCCTGTGAGCAAAGGAAATTGGCTTCCACTTGCTTTAGAGATGATTAAAATATATCTCGTTAATTTACAAAATGCTGTACCTCTTTCATCAGAAGGGCCAGGGAGTGGTGTTCAGAATGACACTTTCATACAGCAGATTAAAGTAACTATAATCCATATTAAAGATGCCATAAAAAGCTTTGATTTTATAAAGCTCCAATTAAAAAAAGCAGAATAAGTAATTTTTCAGAATACTGACAGCAAAATCTATGTTGAAATCGTCATTTGCATGACCTTAGCTCCTGCATGATTTGTAAATTAAAGTCCTTGAGCTAAGACAGGTACATGTCATATATTAAGAATTCACTTGACACAGGAAGGAAGCAGCTGGCCTTATTTCAGCTCATGACTGGCTACCTGCAGCCTGAGCAGCCCTGCAGAGGGATTTCTGGGGCCTTATTTGAGGCCCAGCTCATGACTGACTGCCTGCTGCCTGAGCAGCCCTGCAGAGGGATTTCTGGGGCCTTATTTGAGGCCCAGCTCATGACTGACTGCCTGCTGCCTGAGCAGCCCTGCAGAGGGATTTCTGAGCAGCATACCAGGCCTGAAGTCGTGGCCCCACTGACTGCAGCAGTGCACCTCATCCACAGCGATGCGAGCCAGGCAGCCAGCCTGGTAAGCCTTCTCCAGCTTGGACATGAACATTTTGCTCTTTGCAATCTTCTCTGGAGTCACATAAATGAGCTTTAGCTGGGAATTCCTCTTCAGCATTTCTGTGTGCACCCACTTCACGTGTTCCTGTTCAAAAAAACCAGACAGCAGGGGCGACAAACTGGGACAACATACTGGAGTGCTTCGTGCTAAGGCCTTTAGGAGGTCATGAGCAACTCATAACATGTAATTAACAGAGACTGATAAAGTGTTCCACAGCACTGACCACTATAAGCCTCTGTAGAAGATTACTGTATATGAAATGGCCGTTTTAATACTTAGAAAATCTGTGCTGGAACTTTGAAGAAGCAAAGTGTTGAATATGTCTTTGCTCCATTGGGTGGTATGAATATTTCCCCAATAAACTGTGATGTAACAAACATCCCTGTGATACTAAAAGTGTAAAATAATTCCTTGCACACCAGAGTAGTTTTTATTACTGAGTTTTCAGAGCTCTCTGCATCAAAGTAGGCTTCAAGTCTGGCACACTGGATCAAGCCAGACACTTATCAAATCCGCAAGTTAATGATCACAGCCTCCTGCTAGTCAGGAAATTAACTGTAAAAAAGCAACTGTCTAGTAAGACACTGGGAAATGAGTCGCTTCTGGGCCTCTGGATCAAAAGCTCACCACCCTAAGATATAAATAATTATATGTAAAAGCCTGCACTGCTCAACATGGTAAAAGAGGACAAAAATGACCTACTCCAAGTCTAGAAACTGAGTAAAAATCTGCAAGGCACATCAGCCAAAGGCACTTCACAACCTCTAAACAGCCCCAAGAAATCTATTTATTCCACACATGGTGTTGGTTCCCATGTGTTGTTGTCACTAAAACATGAACACAAGATACTTAAGCACCTTTCCCATATCACAGCACACTCCTGGCCAGATACTGTTGCTAGAACAGCATGAGCTGATAAATCTGCCTCATCCATTCAATATTCACAAGTAACTACACAGAGGGGAGACACCAGCACATTCACCACAAAGCACAGAACTTATACACACCTTGCTGCTTGAGGCATTTAACAAAGCTGCAGAGATACCAAGCTGTTCCAAAACCATCAGCTGATCTTCCATGAGAGATATCAAAGGACATATCACCAGTGTGAAACCTGTAACAATCAACCATTGTGCAGTTCAGATGTCACAAATATCTCCTCTAATTCTTTATACTGATGCATCAGCCCTGCTCTGAAGAAACTGCCAAATGTAAGCTCAAGCTTCATACAAAGCAGGGGATTCCCGTCCTAGACAGCTGACAAGTGAGTGCCAGACCACACAGGGGTAATTCTTATGAAATGCCCACAACACACACCTCCTCTTAGGGTCTAGACCACAAACACAACTTAGCTCTAACAGATAAGAGTATGAAAATATACAAAACAAAAGCTGGATATCTGTGTCATGAGGTGCTGATTTGCCACAGAACTGAGCAGTGACACGGAGTGGTAAATTTGGCCTTTGTAAATAAGTCAACTTCCAATGCAACTGAAAGAGTTATTAAAAATAAACTGACCAAACAAAACCCACACCAAATGGGTTCGTTCTCCAAATAACTGTAAAAGGGAGAAAATAAATCTATTTCTTTATATCATGTCCTTTTTTTTTCCTTACATACCATCAGAACAGACAGCTGGTAACTGGTAACAAAGGCTCTTCCCACCACCTGTGGGCATGACAAGGAATATATCCTTCCCTGCCATGGCAGCATTTACTGTTTCAAGCTGCAGTGATCTAAACTTCTGGAGTTTAAATTTGCTCTGCAGTGCAGTTTTTATCTTCTCATACCATGGAAAATCTGTTAAGGGAAAAAAACAAACCTCAACAAACACATTCCATAAGCAAATTAAAATATTCAATATGATCCCTTCTTCTTACAACTGAATCTAGCAGTGCCACAATTTTAGATCTGAGAAAGCGTTTAAGGATTCATAATGGCAGAAAAAGCTCCACACAACCTGAGTCTGGATGCACCATATTCTAGGGTGGACCCTTACTCAAATTGTAAACACAATTCACCTCCAGGACAAAGATCTCATTGCACATGGATGTGGACTAATGTGAAAAACTGAAAGCAGATGAACTTCAGAGTGCTAATGAGCATGTTAACTCATTAGTCCAAAATAACTAGAAATTAGAATCCCACTCTGAAAATAAATTAATCTAGCCACTGAGCCCTACAGTAGTTACTCAAATGCTTCCCTCATACAAATGCAGCAATTACAAACAGCATAAAGGAGGGATACATTTTTTCCAAATATTCCATCAATAATAAGCATTTATTAAAAAAATAAAGAGGGGGAAAAGTTGTTTAATCTTCCCCAAAATCCCCACCCCAACATGCTTATAATAGTTTTTTCTTTTCTCCAATAAAGACCTAAAGACTGCATTTTTGAAAGATGTAATACTGTAAAAATTTAAATTATGCTTCCTGATAGATAACTTTAGTACTATTAAAACTAAAATGCAGAAGAACTGGGAGAGCTCCAGGTTACACCATGTGCAAGGCAAGAATTAATTCTGGGACTTGAGGTGACATTGCAGAGAACTTTACAAAAAGCAAAGTTAAAATCCAAGTCTCTGTGAAGCCAAGAAAAGTCTCCCACTGGCCTTCATGAGCTTTAAACTGGGAACAAATTTACCTGCTGCTCTTGTTTAATACACACACATCAGCTGACTGCAAAGACATTAATTTTTAAAGCACAGGAGGTGAGAATCAGGCATTGAGCTACACAAACCAAATGATTTGTTCAATAGCATAATTTGCAATGATAAAGTATCAATATTCTTACTATTCTTACATAGGCATAATACTTCTCAAATACAGATAAATATGGATTCAACTACAAGATTAATTTCGTTTTTTAAAATCCAAAAAAAGCTTATATATATGATAGATATAAGCATTTACAAATTGAAAATTAAATTAAAAAGGAGAAAAAATTCAAAATATCTAAGTCATATGTGGCAAGGCATAGCATGGCCAAGAAGCCATGGGGACTTCAGTTAATGCCTAACTTGGAACACAGCAGCCCTCCCACCACCATGAGGCACTTGCCACTTGCACTAATTCTACAATAATAATAATATATTCCAGGTTATTTTTGACAGTCAGCACCTATCTAATTTGCATTAATTTGGTAAGACAGTGAGGCTACATAACCCATCACAAGCACTACCAATGTCCTACCCACTCAACACAAAACCAGCAAAAACCAACTCTAAGTCCGAATTTCTCATTATCAAACTCTGACAAACTCCAAAGCAATTTGTTTTAGAACAGAAACAAGAAGAAGTATTGCAGTATAAGCATTTAGTATACAAGTATTGCAATAAAAATTTACTCTGGCATTCTAAGAGCAAATCAGATCAAATTGTGACTTTACAACAAGCAAAGAATTAAAGCAGTTGTAATAGGCCATTCTGACAGAACAGATAATTCTGCCCAGAACAACTCGATTAGTGGTTAGGAATGTCCAGTGAGACAAGTACAAACATTACCCCATTACCCTGGCATGTCAGCCAGCTGATTAAAATTAAATAGGACAACATCATTATCCAAACAAAATTCTGTATAAGTGCATTTTCCCTGACTGGATTAGTTCACCTTTCTGTTAAAACACTAGACTTTGATTCTGCAAACCTTTTTTGTTCCATTCCTCAGCTGAGGTTTCAGTGTCTTTACTTCCACCTGCCTGCACGTCTCCTGAGGACTGTTTTATCAGATTCTTTACTCTCATCTTCTTCTGAAGGAGCTCCTGCTGCTTATCCACAAGCTCCTGGATCTGCATCTCCACTGCTTGCAGCTCATTCTCAATGGACACCAGCACCTCCTCCAGCACTGCAGGGAGAGACAAGGGGAAGGCACAATAGAGACCACAGCCATGAGCTGATGCCACTTCTAATTGTGTTATTTGTACTCCAGCCAGCGATCAAGCTGTTAAGAAAGGCATTATTTACATGTGAGAAGCAACATTAACCCCAGCAAGTTAAACTCCTCTGGAGTTGTAAACAGGGCCATTAGCAACAAGCCCTGTTCATGCACCAAGGTCTCCCTCCGCCACAGAACAAGAGGATGTACTGAGCAGCAGGGTTTGGGTAGAGGGAAAATGTTTTATCCATGCTTCACATGTGAAAGAAGTGAAGCAAATGCTCCCCAAAAGCTTGGGTCACACAAGTGACTCTTTGGCAGGAATTGCCTCTTTCCATCCCAATATGATGTGTGTGTGAATTGCAGATTGTGTTCTAGAATCCAGTCCCTGGCGTCTAAAAGAATAATTAACACACACACCTGCATGCCAAGCATGTACTCCAGAGCCAGGCCAGAAAAGCATCAGAAGGAATTACTTCCTCCCCCACATCCAGAAAACCCAAGAGATTTTGGCCCATCCAGAGCAGATATGGTAATATGGTTATAGAAATGAAAATGTGTGATAGGGAAAAAATATCTTCATTTCAAGTAGCACAAAATGGTGATAAGTGTCTTCCTAAATGCCCACTGCTACTCAGCAGAAAACAGTAAAGAGTATCTTAAAATATGAAGCACATTTTTAAAATTTTGAAAACCAAGTAATTTCTTTGACAATCTTGATTTTCATCCTACAATAGCTTGGGTTGGAAGGGACCTTAAAGCTCATCTCATGCCAACTCCCCTGCCACTGGAGCAGGTTGCTCAGAGCCCCATCCAACCATGCCTTGAACACTTCCAGGGATGGGGCATTTTGGTTTAGGTGACATAAAAAGCTATCCAGCAAAAGAATTTTTTCTTCAAATCTTAAGCATAGTAGCACAGATCCCACAAGCTCTTTTACGCATACATTAAATTAATGTAAATAACATCAGGTGATTTTGTCTTGTTAGCGAAGAGGCAGCAAAATATCCATATGGAATATAAATCATGGATTACCTGCAACAGCTGTCATCTTTGGAGATTCAAGAATGTTATCTTTAGGAGACCTTATTTAACCAAGCAACTGTCACTGAAAAGAAAATGAAATAAATACATTTTAAAATATATATTATAAGTAAACCTTCTCAACTTAGAACAAATTTTCTGCAGGAGATTCTTCATTACCAGAGCTGTTGATGTAACAATTTAGGCACTGGTTAATTTAATTTGCTCACTAGATGACAACTGCTTTTTCCCTCCTGCAAAATGGATAAACACAAACTCACAACTAATTCCCAAGACCACAGCTCACCAGGCTTCTAAATGAATCCAAGTGAAGTTCAACCAAGTCATACATTCCCTGCAAGAGGAATGCTCTAAGGCAGACCACTCATTCACCAAGTGCTCATGGCCATTTTTGATCTCCTCAAAGCTTATTTTACAGAAAAGTCCGGACACATTATATTGTGCCCCTTAGAAAGGCAGCCACCATAACACCTACAGGATCTGTTAGGAGGAAGCGAAAATGCTGTTTGGTTTAGAGAAGGGGATCAATTTTGAATAATCATCAGGGAAATGAACATGGAATTGAATTTATTGGTCATCATTTGAACAACAGTTTTTGTCACATTGCACCTTAATAACACCAAACTCAAGAAATTGATATTTTCTGTTATTGCATCCTGAACTACTTCTTATATGGATGGAAGCAAAGTCCAACGAAAAATGAAAAGGAATAAATTCAACATTACAATAAATACTGGGGGGGAAAAATTCCTCACTACCAGCTAATTCCACCACGACAAGGATCTTCCCACTCCTATAAATGGAAGGGGAAATACATATTAACAACGATGTGTGAACAAAACACTTCCGCATCACCCAGGGCCGGACCCAGACACCTCTTAATCACCTCCAGGGGCGGCGACTCCACCAGCTCCTGGGCAACCTGCTCCAGTGTGGGAATATTTACAGGCGTACAGTGTGAACACTATACAAATACATACAGTGAGCGTATACAGTGCAATATTCCCTGCATCCCTCACCCTCACGCCAGCCGCGGGCACGGCGCTTGCCAGGCCTGAAGCACCTGCTCGGTGGGGCTGCGGGACCGGGCTGGAGAGCCGGATGGAGGGCAGGAAGGGAAGGCCCCGCTCGGCAGTGCAGGACGGGGCAGGATGGATGGAAGGAGGAAGGGAGTGAGGCCAACAAGGCGAGCAGGAGCAGCGCCTCGCAGCCGTGTCCTCCCGTGCGTTGGGCTCAGCCGTGGCTCGGGTCGACAGCTCCCACAACTGTCCCGAGGGCTAGTGCCAGCCGCGCCCCCGCATCCCTTACCTTTTATCATTTATCTTCCGTCCCTCATCCCCCTCGGCTCCCGCCCCGTGGCCCCGCTCCCACCTGCGCCGCGCGCGCTGGCCCCGCCCCTTCCGCTGCCCGCCCTCAGCCACGGGCGCCGCCGCTCCGCCAATCAGCGCCAGCCGCGGGCCGTGGGCGGGGCGGCGCTCCCGCGCGGCCACACAACCCGGCTGCTGATTGACGGCCGGCGCGACCAATGGGCGGGCGGCTGTCATGCGGCGGGATGCGTGCTTCCGGAAGGCATGGCCGGTGCCGGTACCGGTGCCGCTCCCGCCCGCCCCGCTCCCTGCCGGGCGGAAATTGTCCGCAGGGAAGCGGGAAGCGGGAAGCGGGAAGCTCTCCCAGCCCGGGGAGCCCTGGTATGGCCGGCCCTTGGCGGCTCGGAGCTGCCGCCTGCCCGGTGAGAGGGGCTGGCGCTGACTTAGAGAGATAAACCCCCGCAGGGCACGGCCAGGGAACAGATCTGCGCTGTTACTGCACAAATTTTCGCGTGTGTACGGTAGTTCCGTACTCTGTCCTACATACCCCTAATCCCCCTTTCTTAAAAATAATTTTTATAATTTTTGGCCGTCCCTGGAGAAAACACGAGCCAAGCGCAGCCCCAGGGCAGCAGTGCTGCAGTATGAGGATGTTTATCTGTGTACAAGCACAGATAAGGCTTGTACACAGATAAACATCCTCACAGAGACAGCCTTGTCTCCAGAGGCTCAGAGCTGATAAGGTTATTTTGAAGCAGTTTATGAAATGCTTTGTAAAGAGAGTAAGTTACTGCACAGAGCTGGCTCTCTGTGCCCTGGCCCAGAGCTCAGGGATTCAGGATCCCTGCAGGAATTATTCTAAAGCACTGTGCTGCAGCCCAGCTGGAGGCTGCTGGGATGTATGTGCTCCTTTTTGTTCGTCCTGCTCAGTTTTTATAAGCTCCATGTTTTAGAGCTGTGCACCTCATCCAGCTTTCTGCGAGCCCAAGCTCTAAAAATAAATTAATCTGTTTCTCGGTCTCAAGGATTTTAATGGTTTTAAAGTAACAGTAACTGGAGATAACTTTGCAGCTGTAGAATGAAATGACATGAGTAGTAGTTTGATGACTGTTTTGGCTGTTAGGGCTGCAGAGCAGCACACAGACTGTGTTTTGGAGGCAGTGTTCTCTGGTGATGTCAGGGTCCCTCTACTTGGCATCCCTTCCCCCCAACAGCACCACTTGTCTTGGTCTGTGTCACCTTGCTGAGCTAGGCACATTGAAAATGGGAGTTCTTCCCTTTGGCTTGGGGCTTTATAAGTCTTGCATTGCTTAATAGCACCCTGAACATGATCAGTTTACTAAATAGGGTATAGAATATCCAGGAGAAATCACCATTTCCTCTGTGCAAATGAAACCTGTAAGCAATTACGCACTGCTGTGCAGTAAAAAAAAATGTGTATCTGCCAAGTGGGTGTGTCCAGAGATCCCATGATCACAGTCTGATCCATCAGATGGCCTTTGGAATATTGTGACAATAGTCCCTTACACTGTGGCTGCAGTTCTTGAAGGTGTATATGTGTGTGATTGAAATAAATGTTGTGTGTCCAAATTCTCTTCAGTCCTTATCCTTCTGTTATCCTCAAGTAGTGTTTCTACAAAACCAGTCATGTATTCAGACATACTGCTTGACACCAGTAGTTTTATTGTGTTCAAGTCTGATGATGAGACTCATCATGGTTTCTGTTTCTCTACAAGCTGGCTGCAGAATTCCCATCACAAGACATTTTTTAGTGACAGCTTCCCCAGTTATAAAAGCTGTAACTAATTTCAAGCAGGTAAGAGAAACTTCATTTTTCTTTCAGTAAGAAATGTTCAAAGTTTATTTGTGCAGGTAATTCAGAACCCAGTGGTGAACATGCTCATGACTTTGAGCTTGTTTTCATATTAGTGTGATTGCAGTGGTGTTAGTAAGACTGACAGGCTATTTTACAATGATCAGTAATTGTGAATATATTCACACCATTCAGGCAAAGGTTAAACCAGGTCCTTACAGGACTGAAGTATGTTCAGAGTTACTGAAGCTTTATTTCACTGCTTTATTAGTGACTGACCTCTTAGAAGCACTGGAATGGTATCATAGTCTTATTCATGTTAGAATTTGGGGCAGAAACAGCAAAAAAAGGGATAGCTTTCTGGGAATTGCTTTGAGCTTTGTCTACTCCAGCAGCTGCTGATTGAGTGACATCTTTCCTGCTGGTTTGAAAAAGAAAATCAAATGCATGCATGAATTCAGATTTGTGGCTAATAGGGTGAGAAGCTGAATTTGAGAGCTCTCTGGGAGATTGTTGGAATAACACCCAACTACAGAATGCTTTCTGAAAATGCTGTATGTTCAGCAAAGACATCTGCACATTTACCTCAGCTATTTCAGTATTGCAAAATGCTGTGTAAAATATACTCTTAAAAACCCTGATAAGGAACTTTGATACTTCTAAACTGTGTTGCAAAGGAGAGACCAATTTATCCTCTGTTCTGCATAGAACTTAATCACCTTTTAATCCATAACAGCATCCCACCCCATGGCTACAAATGTCTTGAACGGCCTCAAGGGATTGTGTATTAAAAAGGAAGAAGCTTTGCTGTTTGCTGCTGTTTTAGTTATGCTTTCCTAAGGAGATATTGAAATGGAGCTAGGCTTGGAACAGGAGCTGATTACAATTTCAGCTTGGTTTCAGTTTTTGGCAGCTGAACCTGAAGACTTCTGGAAACCTTGAAAAATATATATGCAAGGGAGGCTACTAAAGCCATTAGTAAATTGGGAAACATCCCCTTTTCCCAACCACACAGAGTGGAGTAATGAATAACATGGACAAAACTAGCAGTGATGTCAATTGTTGTCACTGCCTCAGCTGAAGTTGATGATGAGACAGTAACTCAAATTTATGATCTGAACTCTTGTTCCTCTCCATTTCCCATAAGTAGATGTATTAAAAGTCTTGTTAGAGGACATGGAATTTAAAACAGGAGTGACATGTGTCCATGGAATCAATTGAAGCATATTGAAGTAACTTCATTTTTTATTAAAATTTAATTGGAAAGATAAGATGCCACCAAAATTACTGGGAAAATGTAATTTTCTTTTTTCCAGAAATATTATTAAATACTTACAGCATAACAGTCCACGTGGTAGATTCCTAAAGGATAATTTTCTTTCTCTGCTGCTCTGTAGCTCCTTCGATTCCAAGTACTGCATATTTCTTTTATTTATTTTCCTTTTATACCATAAAACTCCCCTATCACTCGCTATATTTTGTTAGGATACAAAACAGCCCACTCAGCAATTGTTTTGCATTCACACCTTGCATTTGAAAGGAGGAAAAAAAAGTTGCAGTACAAAGTGCAGCTGAGGACAGGCAATATAATCTGTCTTACTTGTGTTTCACTCTATGGAAAATAACTGGCACTATTAATGAGGTCAACTGCACTTCATCCTAAGCAAAGATGGCAGAGCTCGAGTGCTTTTAAGGGAGAGAGAAATGAAACTGGATAGATTTAAAATGTGAACACAGGAAAAGGTTAAAGATACAATAGACACATGATTTCCTATATCAGGGAGTGTCACCCTTAAGGCTTACATATCCCAGGATCATAAAGGTATAATTGTATATAAGAATATTTCAGTTCAGACATCAAAACTGAGGAGATTAGTGCCATCCCTATGTACTTTATATCTAAATTATCTTGCCTTTATCTAAAGTATGGCCACCTGGGCACGCTGCTGGCTGCTGCTCAGCTGCTGTTAATCAGCACCCCCAGGTCCCCTCCTGCCTGGGCACTGTCCAGCCACCCTGTCCCCAGCCTGCAGTGCCACCTGGGATTGCTGTGGCCAAAGTACAAGACACGGTGCTTGGTCTTGCTGAACCTCGAATCGTTGGATTCATTCCATGGATCCAGCCTGCCTGGGGCTTCTGCCGAGCCCTCCTACCCTCCAGCAGATCAACACACACCCCCAGCTTGGTGTTGTCTGTGAATTTCCTAATGGCAGACTCAATTCCCTCATCTAATTGTTGTGAACTTTAAAGGAACATGAGCTACCTGCTGAAAAAGCAGCTAAATTGCCACTGGCTATGGTTAGAGCTGTGCCAAAAGGAGGAAAGTGTGGGAATCCAGGTAGGGGGCTGTGATATATGGTGGGTGGTTTTCCACTTCAGTAATATCAATTTAGGTGAAGATGTCCTTGCTATTATCAATCTAGGTGAAGATGTCCTTGCTATTATCAATCTTGTGATCACTAATCATTATGTTTATAATTCTGTTTCTTTTTTTTTTTAGTTTTCTCACAAAGTACATATTGAAATACTGTGTGAAGTAGAGAAAATTCTCTTACAGCAAGAATTTATCCACCTGCAGCAGACTTCCTTGACTTTTCCTAAAGGAGAGAAAAATGTAGAAGCAGATGAGGGTGAGTGCTGCTAAGACCTTGAAGGTAAATCTGTGCTGGAGCATGTTTGCTGTTTGAAAAATAAATCTTTTTTTCTCTATAATTTGAGGTCTAGCAGTTTACAGTAATCAAATTTATGGGCTGCAATTAAATTATAAAATCTTGCGGGTCAGACACTTTTTTCCACAAAGTAACCAAAATCATATGTGCAGAATATTCCATCCTAACACAATCCATTAAATATTTTAATAGTTAAGTTAAAACATGAGGAAAAAAAACACGAACATTTTGTATCAAACTGAAGTAAACCTTCCAAGCAGAGGAAAATATCCCTTTTTAAAAATGAATAATTATGCCTATAATTTCTTCCTAATTAAAATGAATATTTTTAATACTATTTTAGTAATCAATTACTTTCAGCACAAGTCAAGTCTCTGCTGTTCTTTTTGCTTTTGAGGCACTTCTGTGCATCTGTAAATTTCTACATAAAAGAATATTTTTCAATTGCATACTTGAGAGAACATCCCCCAGGACACAGAGGGCTTTAATTTAGGAAAATTCTGAAGGAAGTTATTGGTAGGAGTTGGAGCTGAGATCCAAAATAGTTTTTTTCTCTAGTTCTGAGCAATGGTAAGAAAAGTTTCAGGTAATCTCTGATAGTTTTTCCTTTTTAATTTCAATTTTAACCTTTCTTTACCTATTCAGTTACCTCAAAGGTTTTATGGTTTTATTTTTATTCATATCTTATCACAAGACATAAGTAATAAAATAACTTCTGTTGGTTACATTCTCAGGGCAAAATTTCCTCTTTTTTCAGTGCTGTGGCCTGTATATGTGGAATTAACTAATGGAAAAATTTATGGATGCAATTTCATTGTCAGTGCAACTGGAGTTGTGCCAAATGTTGAACCATTTCTTGATGGCAATAATGTAAGTATACTGATTTCAAGTAAGGCTAAAGAAACCTTTTCAGCTGGTTTATGCTTCTGTTCTGACATGGATTGCCAAAGATTTAAATACTGTGTACCATCTCAAAATAAGGCAGGGTATGTTGATACTGAGATATCCAACATGATACAAGTGTATTTGATTTGTGGACTTGGCTTATTATGTTGCTCCTCAGGTGTTTATAATAGTACATATGCAGTGTTAAGCCTAACCAAAGAGAGAAAATCATCTGTATAATTAGTTAATGTGGCAGAAATTTAGAATAATTTCCATGTTGGTTCTGTACCATAGTCTTACCTTATTAATCTTGACATTTGCTCCTGGAAAGGAAGCAACTATTTCCAGTACTTTCCATCTGGGACACTGAGCTGTCACAGTGCTCATGTTCATTGATGGCAGTCAGCACCCAAATGTGGATGGTAATTCTGGAGTTCATAACTGCCATGTGCATTTCCACACCTCAGGATCATTTTGCTTCTGTGTTCAGTGCCTGCTCAGCAACAACTAAAACATCCCTGGGTTATTAACACTGATCACAAATCCAACAAATAGCCCCATACAAGCTATTACTAAAACATGATCCCAAACAAAACCAGGATGTTGTGGTATTTGGGTTAAGTGGTGCCATCTGATTATGAGGTAAAAGGCTGTGCTCTGGTGAAAGAAGGAAATGCTGAAAACATAGATCTGATGTTGAGCCATGACGTATTTCCATGCCTATGCTATAAGCTTAGATCAGGAATTAAGTTTTTGCAATGATACTTTCTTGCCTTGGCAAAAATACAAAGTGATCTCTTAAGACTGGGTGTCCCTGTAACAAACACACAGTCTGATTTGGAATTTGGCAAGCTCTGTGACTTCCCTGCCTAGGTATCAATAATAGTCCTTTAAAACCTGTGCTGTGCTCTAGAAATAATAATAACAGTAATGCTTTGTACTTTCCATGGAGCTCTGGCCACTCAGCACAGTCTCATGGTAAATAATAAAGGAACAGCTGATTGTTAAGGGGGAGGGAGTTGGGTGCCTGGTTCCATTGCTGATGTGTGAACCCCTTCAGTTTGCTGTGGGAGAGGATGGAGGACTGAAGGTGGACAAGCACATGCACACGTCACTGCCAGATGTGTTTGCAGCTGGAGATATCTGCACAGCAGCCTGGGAGCCCAGCCCTGTGTGGCACCAGGTATGTCCTGGCACAGGAGTTACACACCAGTGCTCACACCAAGGAGGGACAGGTTAACAGTGGATTGTCACTGACGGATTTTCTGAAAAACTCCTTTGCTAGGATTTTTCTCCTGAGAAGCCTCAGAAAAAAAATATAAACAATAACTATCTGAGGGCTGTGGAATGTGGTCTGGAGATGCTTTACCAACAACAGGTGCATCTTTGATTGGTCGCATGTGAATTGTTTTTAATTAATGGCCAATGGCAGCCAGCTGTGTCAGACACCAAGTCTGTCACGAGATTTTATTATTCATTCCTTTCTAGCTTTCTGGTGTCTCCTTTCTTCTATTCTGTAGTATAGTTTTAGTACATCATTTTCTTTTAATACAATATATATCATAAAATAGTAAATCAGCCTTCTGAAACATGGAGTCAAGATTCTCATGTCTTCCCTCATCCTGGGGACCCTCAAACACCACCACATTTGCTGACCCTGAGTGAGTGACACCCCACAGTGGATAATCCTGGGGGTTTGGTGGCTGAGTTCTGTGGAAGTGGCTGGAAATGAGCTGGCCAGCCCCCCGGAGTATGAACAGCAGTGAGTGTGCTCTGAGTACTCACTGCAGAGAGTGTGCTCATGGCACAGGGATGGCCTCATTACTTCAATCTTCCCAATTTTCTCTTGCAGATGAGGCTGTGGACCCAGGCTCGGCAGATGGGATGGTATGCAGCAAAGTGCATGGCAGCAGAAGCTTTAGGGGAGTCTATTGATATGGATTTCAGCTTTGAACTATTTGCTCACATTACAAAAGTTTTCAATTACAAGGTCAGTACAGTCTGATAGTTGTAAACCACTGAGTAACACATACTGCTTGCTTATATTCACTTGCTGACAGTGAGCAGGTGCATTAATATTGAAGAAGCAGGTTTCTTTCTATAGTAATTAATCCCAGCTTAGATTTTCTCATTTTGTGCTAATGTATATGGTATTTCATGGGGAAGATTTTTCAGTCCATTGTGTGTATTTGTGCTAATGTGTGTGATATTTCAAGGGGAAGATTTTTGAGTCCATTGTGTGTTTTCAAGCCAGTGATGGGGGAGGGACCCTAGGGATGCATATTTCCCTGTTTGCATCCCTTTTGAGGCTGAGAACTGTTAGCAGCAGAAATGCTAAAAGCCACTGCAGTGTTGTTATGAGAGCTTTTCCCTTCTCCTTCTGCTAGGTGGTGGTTTTGGGGAAGTACAACGCTCAGGGCCTGGGCTCAGAGCACGAGCTGATGCTGAGGTGTACCAAGGGCCACGAGTACATCAAAGTGGTGATGCAGAACAGCCGAATGATGGGAGCTGTGCTCATCGGTGAAACAGACTTGGAAGAAACCTTTGAAAACTTAATTTTAAATCAAATGGATCTTTCAGCCTATGGTGAAGATCTCCTAAATCCAGATATTGACATAGAAGATTATTTTGATTGAACAGTACCCCATTCCCATTTTGTATGAAGCTTTGAGAGCAAGTCATACATCTTAGAAAACCGTTTTCTCAGGACTGGGGATAAATGCAATCCTCAATTAAGATTTTGGGTTGATCTTGCTAAAATACTGACTGGTTACTGCCACAGGTACCAGCTAATGGTGCAATCTCTGTTGTGCTGGCTCATATGAACAGAGAACAGTTTCAGGGCACAGGCTGCTCAGAGCTCTTGCTACCTGGAATGCAGGTTGCAAATACATGGCCTTACTCCATTTTTTTTTCCCTTTTTCTTTTCCTCCATAAGTTTACTTCTGAAATAAATGTATTTTCTACTCAGTTAAGTACAGAACACAGGCTTTGCACAATGAAAGCCAGGATGAGATGTCAGTTGAGAGCAGCCTTTGAACTGTTTGTCCCTTCAGCTGTGCAGGTGTTGGGGTGGAGCTGCACTGTACTGGATAGTGCCAGCCCTGGACAGCAGTTGTTTCATCCTGGCTTTTGATTTTGTTCTACAGTTGCTGCCTGAGAGTTCTTATTTATTTTGGATCAAATTTGGGACAATTTATTGTACTCAATACAAAGCTGGCAGTACATATTGAGACTTGTCCCAGACAAATCACTTAATTTTTTTTAGGAGAATGACTGTTTTTAACTAAATTTTCAATTTTTGGTGAAGGTCTCAGCTAAAGGATGGGTGAAGGACTATAGGCTTTATTCACTGTCACAATTTTACCAGAAAAATAAAGATGAGGAGCATGTTGTTAATGATATTATTTTTATATTTGTTCTAAGTGTAAGCGAGAGGAACTAAAATGCAACCACCAGAACTTGCATTTATTAATGAAACTGAACATGCTTTTCTGATCTTTGACTGCTAAGATGTTAAAAGTAAGAAAACAAAATTGAATCTAGCAGTCAGCATATGTGCCTGAGAAGGCTTGCAGTAGCTGTTGAATGTTTCCTAGGCTGGCAGGTTGTCTTGTTTGTAAACTTCAACTGAGGTACTTCTGCCAAGCACAGAAGTCATAAATTTCTATTTGAATAACAACCCAGAGAAGTCCAATTTGAAGAGCAACAGACATATTTCAAAAGAATAAATACACATAATCACTCATAAGTACATACAGTATTTCACTCCCACGTGCCACAGTGGGTGTAGGGACACATGTCCCTACTCAGAACTGCAGAGGTGGCAATGCCCACGTGGGCTGGAACAGCCAGCCCTGGCACAGCAGCAGCTTGGAGCCAGCCGGGGCTCCAGAGGAAGGATGCTGGAGCATCCCTGTCTCCAGCTGTCTGATGTCACTCCCTGGGGCTGGTGACAGCAGTGCCCTGGCTGCAGTGGGGTCACTGGTGAAGAGAAGAGTCACCTGCACAGCAGGCAGAAGAACAGGAGGTGACAGGGTCTCCATGCTGAGCTAAGACCACCAAGTCCTGTGCTGCAAAGGAGAGAAACCTCATGAGGACTCTCAGGGGAGCAGTGGGTGGCGTCTCCCACAGGAAAGAAGCCTAGAAACCTCTGGACCTCTATCAGTCCTTTCCAGACTGCATGAACCTGCCACAGTGTTACTATATACTACACTTGCAAAAGAGTTAAAAAGGCCACATGGTCATTATAGAGATTTTGTAATCGTTGCTGTATCCTAAGATATGCGCCAATTATTTTGATAAGAAACATGCTTTCCTCTTCTATTAGCCTTCTATATTTGACACTTTTTAAAGATATTTGTTCCCTGTTCAGCGTTTATTAAATAAAAATAAAAATACCAATACTAAAGCACAAACTGAACTTACACACTGCACTGTCCATGGAGCAGCAACCATGATTAGATCCTAAATGTAGCCTGTGACACTCAGTCCGTAACTACTGGTTGGTCATGTGCACCTGCCTGAAGCCAAGGCTTCTTTGCTTTTAAGTTAGGACTACAGCTGGGCCGTTTCTGTTCCTGTGATTGATTCACCCCTGAATCTTGGACAGTCTTTGATCCAGCCTGGGCATTTTCTCTGCTTCCTTTTGAAGACTGAGATCGTTTGACCTGTAAGATTAAAGAGTGCAGTGAAAATTCTAACATTGCTTTCCTTTTCTTTTCCATGTTCCCACACAAGAGAGAAGATATTTATGAGGTTATGATATTTATGGTGTACATGCATACACACATACACACATACACATATTTATTCATATATACATGTGCTCCATCACATTCCAAACACTTCTGGATGTTGAATCTTGAAATTCTGTGGTAGGAGACTGGCAAATGCCTACAATTCGAATATTATTGATATTCTCACATTTCACTGACCATAAAAGCTAATATCAATATTTTCAACGCCTTTAAAAATGAAATAATAATGTCAAAATATTGCCAGAAACTTATCAAAATGAAAAGGGTGTGTTAGGTTAAGCATAGAGACTAGACTGGGTTTTTTCTGCATTTTTGCTTCTGACATTGTTTGGAAAGTGTGTTGTTTGCACTAGTAACTGAAATGCAATTTGAGGATAGAATTACTACAAAACATGTTTTGAGCAGATACCAAATGATTAAATTAAGCTCTAATGGAGAAGATACCTATATGGCAAATCAGAACAGATGTAAATACCTTGGAACCACTTTTGCTGTTTGTTATCCCCTCCATGGTGATGACATGTCCCTCGTTTTTCAGCAGCCGGGCTTTGGGTCCCACCCTCAGGTAGGATATTGTGGCAAAGGCTGTGAAGCTGAAATCCTCCCTGCATGGATGAAATCACTGTTACAGGGGAAGGTTGGAGATGGAGGCCAGAATATGCAGGGGGAAAAAAATCATAGAATCATTAAGGTTAGAAAAGACGTCCAAGACATCAAGTCCAACCATCAACCCAGCACTGCCACTAAACCATGTCCTCAGGTGCCACATCTGCATGTTGTATGAACAGACCCAGGAATGGTGACTCCACCACTTCCCTTCTCAATAACTCTTTCCATAAGGACAGGGACGCATTAACCCTTCTGTTAGGTGTTGCAGAGAGCAGCTTCATTCTGCTTCATCTATTCAAGTAGACAGGTGACTTAGAGCTGCTCTGATCAACACTTAATTCAGTTCATGGACCTTGACACACACAAAAACAGATGCACACTTGTCACTTGAAACACATGGGGGAAAATGAGGAAAAAAAGATGTAATAAGTCATCTGCTAACCCTCTTAGTAATATTAAAAAAGCTGTATGGAGAGATACAAAGAAAAATGAAGTCAAAATAAAGGGACTGGATATTTTAGGTATTCTTGAACTTAACAATTATAGAAGACAAAACACATAGCACATGGACAGCTTACAGAGGCAGCACTGGTGTGAGTTCCACTATGCTTTCTTAAAATTTCTGAGTCCCACCTTCCACATTAGCCAGTGTTTCCTGACTTAGACATCGTGTGCACAACCTCATTTGCTTTCCTTATCCATGGAATGTGAATGAGAGCTGTATGAACTTCAGACTTCTCCAAAATGAATCCTGCTGCAGATTTAAACATTCTACCTGAATACAGAAGACCCCAGGTTTTTTAAATTGCACGGGATGCAGGATTTCAACTATTCCTCCAACTTTTGAAAAGGAAATATAGCAATACTTGAAGGGTTTTTAGGAATACATTAAATGTATCTGAAATGAAAAGAAGACTACAGAATGTAACCATAATTTTTTACCAAAGTAACAAGAGAGCAAGGTAAAATGACTACTAAATATTAAAAAACCAAAACAAAGAAAACAAAATAGTTATCTTACATACTTCAGATACTTCTGCAGCAGTAAATGAGATTAACAAGACCGAAAACCCCCAAAATACTGCAAAATGTTTTTGGGGGTGGAGTTTGGCCATAACAGGTATTTAATGCTGCTAAACATGGATCAATCCTTAAAATTCCCTGCTCCAGACTCCCCATCCTACTTGTATTTCTGAAATTCATACAGTGATTAAACATCATCTAGAGACAATCTGAGCAAATCACCCATCCCAGGTGCTGTACAAAATAAAAAAAATAAAATTGTATATCAAGTCTGTATCATGTTATTCTGGTAAGCCAGAGATTTGATAAAAAATCAAGTATTTAAAAAAATGCATAGTGGAGGTCTAGATAGGCAGTTATTCTTTGTTACCTGCAGTAGAGGCCTGGTCATGAATGCCCAGGTGGCTACTAATCTGTTGCACTATCTTGGAAATGAAATGTGATCCTCTATCTGAGGATAATGTGGCTGGAACTCCGAATTGTGGCATTATTTCTTGTAATAATACTCTGGTCACTTCTCAAGCTTTGATAGTTCTGGTGGGGAATGCTTCTGGCCAGCTTGAAAATGTATTTGTCAATACCAATAAATACAGATACCCCCCTTTCCTTGGGAGCTCTGAAAAGTCGATTTGCCACTGCTGTCTAGGCACATGGTCTCTCCCAGTCTGACCGAGTTTCAGCCTCGGGGTGTTTTTGGGGTTAGTCTGGAGGCAAGGATCACACTGTTGGTTTACCTGAGTAATAGTGGCATATAAATTCCTGGCAACGATTCTTTCAATTAGATATGTGTTCTAGAAAGCCTGCAGAAACTACTACTTAAGAGTCAACACTTCATTTTGATGCACTCTGTAACACTGGCAGCCTTGGTCATTCTGGCAAAGGAGCCACACTTTATAAAAGCTTTTAAGGCGTTAGACTCCAGTGTGTTTTCTAGTGCTCTTCCTTCACTAGTGACCACTAGTGACCAAAAATGGGAAGGGATTACCAACTCCCTCTCAATGGTAGCCCACCCCTTGTGGTTGCATGTCTCTTTTGATTAGTATTATTATATTCTGGCTCACTTTCGAGGGAAATCTGTCCATAATTACCTCACCTTTTGCTGCTTTCCTTGCCTCTCCATCCATCAGCTCATTTAATGCAAACATTTTCTGGCTGGCTTGGTGGATAGGGAGGCAGAAGAAGGCATCTTTCAGGTTTAAAACAGTAAACTACGTTAGCTCAGGTGTTAAACAAGTTAGTAAAGTATATAGATTTGCTGCCACAGGGTATAAATTCTTTGTTATCTTATTGACAGCCCTCAATCCAGTACTATCAATTATTGGGCTGATTTCTTTCCTATCTTCTTTTGAGGGGGTACTACTTAATTCTCACTGGTTGTGTTCGTTCCTTGAGCTTGATTACCATAGGGGGACATTTTTCACCCTCCCTGGTACAGCAGAGACCCATACCCCCAAAAATACTTATTTACTTATTCTAACATCTCTTTACGAATGTCCTTCTTAATTTCAATGGCTGTTAATGTT